CAAATATCGTGAAGTCTACAACAAAACAATTCAAGAAAATGAAGTGATAGCAGTGGAGATAGAAACCCAAGGTTTCAACTCAATACTTATATCCTCCGTTTACGTACCTCCAAATGCCAAAATAAATCGTAGTATCTTCGACAACCTGTACAACATTAACAACAACTGTATTATCGTAGGTGATTTCAATGCAATATTAAATCAAAAGGAATCACACAAGACTAATTCAAAAGGTAGACAGCTGCGTGAATTATTTAAAGAAGGCTTAATCGATTGTGTCGACGATGATTATACAACATTTGAAAGATACGATTATGAAGAAAAACTTGACTGGATATTAGCCAGACAACCTCTTTTATCATTCATAACAAATGTTGAAACACATGCATTAATCGGCACAATTACTGGACACAAACCATTAACCTTCGATATTCCTTTCAGAGCCGAAGTCAAACTTCCCTCTCCTAGGATATCATTTAATTTCAATGCAGCCAAGTGGCCATTATTTAGAAGTAAATTAGACCATCGTGCCATACTGAGTCGAAAGCAGCTTTAATATCGAAAAGAACGACAGCCGAATGACGCCTCCGGCTTTCAGCCGTCAGCTGATTTTCAGCATATCGTTGTAGTCTCACGATATTGTAAACTGTGCTTTTTCCTGGTCTGAAGCCGGCTTGATGTTCTGGTAAGATGTTGCGTTGATTAAGTTCAGACATTAGACGTTGTTTGACTATTTTCTCCAGTAGCTTGCCTAAGCAGCTAAGGAGACTAATTGGCCGATAACTGGACGGTTGTTGCTTGTCTTTGTTCGGCTTAAGTAGAAGAATAATGTTTGCTTGTTTCCACGCATCGGGAATGTAACCATAATTCAAAATTTCGTTGTACATGTTCGTGAGATGTTGGACAAGTAATTTTGAATAATTCTTCAAACACCTATTGTGGATATTATCTGGACCTGTGGCACTGTTACGAAGATGTTTTAAATGATATTTAACTTCGTTGACAGTGATTTGCTTCCAGCTATTTTTGTTTGAATTGGTTGTCATTCCTTTTCTAATGCAGTTTGTTCGACGAGTTACTTGATCATGAAATGGCTGTGAGTCAGGCGCTTCGAAGTAGACCTCATTTTGGAAATAATCCGCAAAAAGATCTGCCTTCTCCTTGTCTGACTTTGCTTCGATGTTGTTGTATTTCATGACGTTCGCATAAGTTTGCTTGATCCGCTTGTTGTGGAACTTGCGCACCGTTCGCCAAACTGCATCCGAGTACATCTTTTTCTGGCATAATGAAGACATTAACTTGTTAAAGTTGTTTCTTCTGTCGTTCCGAAGTGAATTTGTAAGTAGGACTTTCGACGTGTAGAATTGAAGTTTATCTATATCATCTCCGGTCTTCTTCCATCTTCGATATGCTTGATGTTTGAGTTGAATCAAGTTTTTCGAAGCTTCACTTGGTGAATACGATGTAATATTTTGCTTGATACGTGGAATAGCTTCTTGCGTTGCTGCCAAAATGCTTTTGGTGATAAACGTAGTATATTCTTCTAAGTCTAATGTTGAATTTAATCGTCGATCCATGTCCCATTT